CAACACGCCAAATAACTGAGGATTATGGAAATGACAAACATGAGGAAGCCATTAGTAGCAAGAAGCAGTCCAGGGACGAAGTCTATGGAGCCATGACTCACCAGAGAGCACCCATGGTAGTCAAGCAGGAGGGCAGGCAGTCTCCAGGGAGCTCACTTGCCCACTTTAGCCTTTCCTGCATGGCGTCCACCAGAAATCTATAAAGAACATCAAAGACAAGTGATGTGTCAATAATAAAAAGTGCTAGAGGAATTTTAGTCTAACATTTATAGCTGTAGTGTACACTAAACACAACCTAACCTCTAGCCACATTAAAAAAAAAAACCTGGCACACTAAAGACTGGTTTCCTCAATTCCTTTACTATACACATCTGGAGTTCCACCAAAAAAAATTATTTGGTATGCTAAAAGAAAAACAAGCAGAACACAAACACAAAGTTTGAATTTTCAGAGCAAGCATAAGAACCAAACTCAGACATGGCAAATGTAATGGAATTATTATACTAAAAACTTTAAAACTATGCTAGAGCTTCTAACAGGAAAGGTTGATAATGTGGAAGACCAGGTGGGGGTAATGTGCACAGAGGATTCTAAGGAAGCGCTGGAAGGAAACAGCACTGCACTGGAACAGAATGCCTTGGTTCTTCTTGCTATTCTGAGCTTTCTGGGTCTGTGTTGATGGACAATTCTCATCAATGCTGTTGGAGAACCCTGCTATTAAGGTTGCAACCCACCATGTGCTGATAGCTCTCTGAGCTCTGCACAGAGTGGAGGACTCCCTTTCTCAGCAGGGATCTCCTTGCTCTGCCTGACCTTCCTTGGAGAGATCTCTGAGCACAGTGACCTTATCTGAAGAATGACCCAGTGCATGACTTAGCACACAAGTCACACTCTAGCTTCCTGCCTTATGATAATTACACACTGTGTTCTGACCAATCAGCCCTTTCCACCCTTAGCCCTAAGAGCCCTTATATACCCTAACCCTGGAACAATAAACTAAAGCTGTCTCATGGAAGCTGTCTCTGGAAGTCCTCACAGCCTTCTGAACCCTGTTCTCTGTTCTTGCTCCCTCTGCCCTCGTGGGCCAGTGGCCAACAAGCCCCCCAGGAGAAGAGGGAACCATAATTGCTTCAAACATTTCTTCATCATCTACTCTTATTGTGTGCCTGTGTTACATGAACATTTCCTGGAGAGACTAGCTAAACCTCTTAATTTGAAGAAATCAGTGTCAACGGAAATTTCCAAAACTAGGGCTCATGTTGGGGCCTACCTAGCATGTACAAAATACCAGCACCACATAAGCCGAGAGTGGTGGTGCACACCTATAATCTCAGCACTTGGGAGAAAGAAGACAGAAGGATCAGGAGTTTAAGGACATCCTTGGCTACATCGCAAGTTTGAGGCTACTTCAGGATGTATAAGAACTTTTGTAAAAATCTGAAATGTTTCCAAAACTGAAATGTAAACAATAGAGAAAAGTGAAAAAGATATAATATCTAAGAAGTGTTAGACTACAAATGGTGTAGCACACTGTTGTGAAATGCTGTCTGTTGTCCCGGAACTCACTCTGTAGACCAGGCTGGCCTCGAACTCAGAAATCTGCCTGTCTCTGCCTCCCAAGTGCTGGGATTAAAAGTGTGCACCACCACTGCCCAGCCAGTCATAACCATCTTAACCAGAGCAGCTTACTGTAAGATTACCTGTAAGAGCCATCTGGGTGCAGCCTGTTCAAATTCCTCCAGGGAAGTCGTGGGGAGAGTCCTGAGACCCTCACCTGAGATTAGCCACTCTCTCCTGAACCTCTCTGCTATTGTGTGTAACTCTGCCCTAGCTTCACGTGGTCCTTAGAGATAACAGTATAGGATGTGGACAATTAACTGAAAAGTGACCTCCATCTACATCTACAGCTATAGAGAAGTTGTCATTTATGTAAAGATGAGTCTGTGGTGGTGTGTTGTTTGGGGGCCACGTACATCCCTGAAGGAGATACTCACTGGTTCACAAAACTACACTTAGGTAGTAGGATCATTACTTTGGTCTGTCATTGTCCTATTTGGGATAAGCAGCTACTGTTTCACCTCCCCAGGAAAGTTCATTCAACACATAACATTGTTATAGGATATTTGAACCTGTTTCTAGTTGTGGTGTGGCTCAGCCCTTAGCACACACCTTTAATCCCTCCGGCTGGAATACAGACAAACTCTTCATACACACCTTCAATCCCAAATAATGAAGGCAAAGTTAGTTTGTTGAAGGAAACAGCTGTGTTTGAAAGTGATATGTAACTGAGTGACAAAGTGATGGATCAGAGAAAGATGTGACAGAATAGAATATGTCCAACTCTCAAGAGAAGAGAGAGAAAAGGAAAGCTACTTAAGGGAGACAGACAATACAGGAAGAAGATAGTACAGTACAGGAATACAGTAGAGTTTGTGGAATTGAACCTCAGTCCTCTGTAATACCAGTCTGTGTTCTTAACTTCCGGGCTATCCCTTAATTTAATTTTTAAGAATAATGTATTTGTTTTTATTTTATGCACATTGTTATTTACCTACATGTATGTCAGAATGAGGGTGTTGGAGCCCCTGGAGCTGGAGTTACAGTTGTGAGCTGCAGTAGAGGGGCTAGGAATTGAATCGAAGTCCTCTGGAAGGCAGCCTGTGCTCTTAACTGCTGAGCCGGCTCTCCAGCCCCCCCTTAATTTAATCTGTAACCTTGATGGTCATTAGACAGTGCTCGCTGGCCTAACTTTCATCCTTTCCTTCCTACTTGCTTTAGCATTTTTGTTTTTGCCTTTGTGTGTGTGTGTGTGTGTGTGTATGTGTGTGTGTATGCACGTGTGCAGTTTGAGTGTCATTTAGCTCTGTGTTTGTGTTGGTATTTATTCTGCTTGCTATAATGAATGCTCTGGATCTATCGTTACTTTGGGACACTTCTCAGTCATTGCTCCAAACATTCTTCATCCTCTATTCTCACTGCGTGTAACAGTAGTTTTTATTTACCTGGCTCTGTCTGCTAATCTAGATCTTGTCCTAGAAGCTTCTGGCCTCTAAACAATCTAATCTAGGACTGGAAGGTTTTCAGCTTCTGAGATTTTGTCTTAGTGAGGTTTCCATTGCAGTGAAGTGACACCATGACCAAGGCAACTGGTATAAGAGACATTTACTTCGGGCTGGCTTACAGGTTCAGAGTCTCAGCTCATTATCATCAATGCGGGAGCATAGCAGCATCCAGGCAGGCATGGCACAGGAGGAGCTGAAAGTTCTACATCTTGTTCCAAAGGCAAACAGGAGAAGACCGGCTTCCAGGCAGCTAGATGAGTCTCAAAGCCCACCACAGTGACACACTTCTTCCAACAAGTTCACACCTCCTAATAGTGCCACCCATTCCCTGGATCAAGAATATTTAAACCACCACAGACTTACTACTTGAAAAAGCTCACCCCTTTTTAGTTTTTTCTGACTTCTGTCCATCTGGTTCAACTCAGCTGTTCTAGTTTAAACTCCTCTCTCAGCTGACTTATTCAGTTTGGCTTTCTCTCAGCCTCTGAACTGCTCTGTTTGACCACAAATTAACTCTAGTGATCTTTTCTAATCTTCTGGCTCTCTCGGGCTTCTTCTCATTCTCTTACTTGTTCCGTCTTTACTTGCGCTTGTTTACTTTTCTTTTTTCTTTCTTTTTTTTTTTTTTTCAAGACAAGTTTTCTCTGTGTAGTCCTGGCTGTCCTGGAAGTCACTCTGTAGACCAGGCTGGGCCTCGAACTCAGAAATCTGACTGCCTCTGCCTCCCAAGTGCTAGGAGTAAAGGCGTTCGCCACCACTCCCTGGCTCCTGTTTACTTTTCAGTCTATCTCTGTACAACTGTCCCGATAAATTGCCTCCTCTTCCTTCTCCCCCGACCCCCATTGTTCTGCTCACAACCACCTGTAACTTCCGTCGTCCCAGGAGACACTTAATACCCTCATTTGTCCTCCATGGGCACTCCACATACATGGTTCACAGACATATATTCAGATAAAACACTGGTACACATTAAATAAAAATAAATAAAATCTCAAAAGAATTAAATTAATACACGCTAACTTTAAAAAGGAAACTAATTTTTCTCAGCTTTAAAAACAATGTATAACTTCCACCCAGAACCATGCAAGCAACAAGGGAGTAAGTAGAGTGAACTATTTACAATACTGAAAGCAGGAAAAAAAAAAAAGCCCACCTCACGTTGGAATTTAGAGGTGTGCGCCGCCATATTCTGTGAGACAATTCTTTAAGGAAAAAAAAAAAGAAAGTGATAAGGTCAGAAAATTCATATTTGCATAAAAATGACAGAAAAATTACGAATCAACTACAACTATAACATCCAATGCAGTACTTTGGTACCAGGTCTGGAAAGGCTCAGAAAACTGATGTGCAGAATGGAGGCAAAGTGTGAGCCTTCAGTCTGGGAATGGAAGAAACCATCCAAATAATGGCCAGGTTTCAAACACCAAAGTAAGTGTGCCCCGTTCTGTCCTTGGGGAAGGCAATAAGATCTCACTAAAGGGCTCCATCAAGTTAGTGCTCAAAAGAAACTTGGAAAAGGAAGCCTTAACTATTCTAAACTACACAAAACAGCAAAGATGTGGCACAGAAAAACTCAAAACGACTGTAATCCTACTGTCCAGAACCCTGGCTGACCCTGTGATATTTCAAACTACATTTTATTTGTTTAGGCGTCTGCGAGTCAGGACAGGAGGGCGGAGCTACCACCCAGCCCTGTTTGGTTTTTTTGAAAGCGAGCGCCCTCTTCCGTTTCGCGAGAGGAATGACAGAATACTTCCTGGGAGCCGGGGGCGGCCCGGGAAGGGCTTGGCAGATGCTGATTCAGGCGCCTAGGTTTACGGAACACCAGGGGTGAAGTGTGACGTGAGGCCGCACGTCACTTTCACAGGTCAGGGGGCCTCGTGACGTCACAGCTCCCTCCACGGCCTCTTCCGGGGCGGGAAGCTGCGCGCCCAGTCGGAAGTGACGTACGCTCGGGTTTCGCGCAGTGGCGGCATTTTAAGCTTAGAGGTCTGGACAGGTTGATAGACGGGCTCCTCGAAACGGGCCAAGCCAGCCCGCCGACCTTCCGGTGCCGATGAGAGAACCGGAGCTCCGCCCACGGGAGCGCCCAGGAAGCCTGGGCTGAGAGTAAGGGGGCGCGGAGGAAAAGGTGCCCGCGGGCCATGGCCCCACCTCCAGGGATGGGTCCTGCGTCTCTGCGGTTTGCTGCTGCCGCCAGCTGGCTGGTTGTCCGCCGTCGCCGCGTCGAGCACTTTTCAAGAGTGGTCGAGTTTCTGCAGTCCCTGCGTGCTGCTGCCCCCGGCTTGGTTAGCTATCGGCACCATGAACGCCTGTGTATGGGCCTAAAGGCCAAGGTACGAGAAAGAGTAGTATCTAAAGGGGCGGCATGAGAGGACCTAAGGAAGGACGACTCGTTGGGCCTAATACCGGCCGGAAAAGGGTAGGTATTCTGAGCTCAGTACCGTGCAGGTGGTGGTGGAGCTGATCCTGCAGGAGCGACCCTGGGCCCAGGTCCTGAATGCCCTGAATCATCACTTCCCAGAATCCAGAACAGTAAGTACCATTGGACCTTGAAGCTGTAAGTGCTATCTTGGTCAGACCAAAACTCATTAGGCGTGATGCAGCCAAGTTGCCCCTGGGTCCTGGTGACACCTCCTACCCCCAATTTTTCTGTCTTCAATATCCTCAGCAGACAAAACAAGATAGGAAGCTTTTGGAGGCACAGGAAAATTTTTGCCTGCTTGTGAAGCAACTGTCAGAGGACCCGGCTTCAAGCCTACAGGTGAGAATGGTTGGTTTGAAGGATGTTATGTGATTCCTGGGTTTTTTTCTAAAATATATCTGACCTGCTTCTCTTTCCCACATGCAGGAACTAGAACAGGACTATGGGGAACCCTTTCTGGTTGCCATGGAAAAGCTGTTGTTTGAATACTTGTGTCAGCTGGAAAAAGCACTGCCTACAGTCAGAGCACAAGAGGTTGTTGAGACAGAAACACTTTAGGGGGATACTGGGTGGCTTTGCTGAGAATTACAGTCTTCCTATCTGTCACCTTGTCCACAGCTTCAGGATGCTCTAAGTTGGATTCAGCCTGGCTCATTGATCACTTCTTCCGTTGCTTTGCGCCAGTATGGTATGGACATGGGGTGGCCATTTCCAGGTAAGGGAGTCATCTGAGATAACTAGGAATTTGGAGGTTAGTGTTTAGTTTGACCAAACCTGACTGAATTTTTAACCTAGTTCTAATTTTATAAAGCATCTTATTTTATCTTTCAGAGAGCTCTACTTCTGGCTCAGTAAATCTGATAGAACCCATGGAAGAGAGTCCTCATCAGCAAACAAAACCAGCACTCCATAATCCTCTGCCTAAAGCTAAGCTTGGCCCTCACCAGCCAGCCTCACGGGAGCACCCGCAACATTTAGCTGGCAACCACTTTAATCTGGCCCCTTTGGGAAAGCGAAAGTTCCATTCACAGTGGACATCTGCAAAGGCAGGCCATAAAGAACGGCCCACAGTCATGCTGTTCCCGTTCAGGAACACAGGCTTACCAGCTCAAGATGTGTCTAACCCTAAAAGCAGGGAAGAGCATGGAATGGACACAGCGGGTTCTGTGGGAACAGAACCAGTCTGCATTGGGAAGTCTAAGACTCCATCTCAAACCTTGGGGAAAAGGGCATTAGAGGAGATGCCACCTGACTCTCCAGCTGCAGAGCAAAAGGAGTAAGAATTGCTGCTGCTTCCTTGAGAATACATTCCCTGCCTGCTTCCCTTCTTTACCAACCTTTCCCTTGTCTTCACCTCAGGAACTGTGTGGATCCTCTAAGACTCTCATCACCACCCAGTGTCAAGAAACCAGGTAAGCAGGCTGAGTCAGAACTGGATTGGGCAGCCTGTCTTTGGGGACCCTTCAAGGCCTGTGCTCACCTAAAAGTGGGTTCAGGTTTTTTTTGGGGGGGGGTTGTTTGTTTGTTTGTTTGTTTTGAGACAGGGTTTTTTCTTCATAACCCTTGCTGTCCTGGAACTCAATATGTAGAAGCAGGCTGGCCTTGAACTCAAGAGATCCCCCTGCCTCAGCCTCCAGAGTGCTGGGATTAAAGGTGTGGTCTACCAAGCTAGGCTAAAAAAGTGGTTTTAATTGTGGTTTCTTTCCTGCAGTGCTGTCCCCTCAATCCCTGCATAACTCTGTTATTACCATAGAGGACTTGGTTTTGGACTCAGATGAGGAAGAAAATAACCAGAAGGAAGGGAAGGTGAGTAGGAAGAAGCAGAAACCCGAGCCAAAGGATGGGCAGAACAAGACAGGAATCCTGTGAAGTGTTCCCAGTTACAGGAATTATGCTTTCTTCTCTATAGGAGTCCTTGAAAAACTATCAGAAGACGAAGTTTGACACCTATATCCCCATGTTTTGTGACTACATCCCATAATGTCCTGCCTATTCCTTTCTGACTACATAAACAGTTCTCTCTCAGGTCCTCTGGAATACCCTCTGCACTGTCCATCTACCTCTGCAGCTCTGCATGCATTTTAGTGGAGGAGAAGAAGCCCAGACCTGAGTTGCCAGCTACATTGCTATAAGCTTTGTAACACTTGAAATTAAATCTTGATTTGTTTAACTGTCTTGATGGGAAGAAGGGGAATTAAGACTTGCATAGGTCCGTGTAGGTCATTCCTCAGAAACATAACAGGCTTCTCTTGGAGCTAGTTGAGGCCCTTTTCATATTTACTCCTTTATAAAGGGTTCAAACTTATCTAGAAGGGTTGAGAGCCTGGAAGGGAAGTTGTCCTTAATGCTATTCTAACAGTTGTCCTTAATGTCAGAATATACTTTGTAAAATTTTTGTGCTACCAAGTTAGCTTGGGCTGGTGTAGGTGCTTCGTGACAATAACATTCATTGTCCTTGATCCCACTGGGTCAGGATTATCCTACCTCTGCCCAGGAGGAGCATCTAGATGCCAACCTGTGCTGAAAGCCCAGCATCTATCTTTTTGAAGGTATTTCAGATATATAAGTACTTCTTAGCTGTTTAGACATTTGATGATTTCATTTAATGAAGCTGGTTAACATGATTCCAATAGCCTTCCTTTTCTAGACCAAGGTCTGCTATTTCTGTATGGATCAGCATCTTTTTTTCCTAATCTTCGGGGGCTGTCCCCAGATTGTCATTTGTAGATTTCCCATCTTCTCCCTCGTCTCCCTCTCTCCTGTAGCCTTTTGTGTGCAGCTAGAGAAGCAGGAGTGAGTAGAGGAGCCGTCAGAAGCGAGAACCGGAACTGAATTAGGTGGCTGCCACCACCACCACAGGGCACTGCCTGCCATGGGTGAGGCACACCCTGTTGGGAGGCTACACTGGCAGTGTTGCTGCCTCAGGAAAGTAGACTTCTTGGGTCTACTGGGAGTTGCTGAAGATTGGATTCACTTGCTGGGTGACTCGGATAAAAGTAGTTCTCCGACTTAATTCCTTCAGTTTAGCAGCACCTACATATGTGCATGTAGACCGGATGCCTCCTAGGATGTCACGAATAGTATGTTCCACATCGCCTTTAAAGGGAACTTCTACTATCTTTCCCTCTGAGGCCCTTGGAAAACAAAAAGTTTTATTACCTCCTTCTGCAGAATTCTTTAAGCCCAGTTACTCTTCCTGTCTCTAACATTTATACCCCTTCACAAGTTTCTCAGTAATACCCTACATTTCCCAGAGGGTATGACACCATTTTCCATCATCATAGTCACTGAGAGCACTCAGGTGCTAGCCCTCCATACATACCTGTACTCAGCCACACCTCCTGAATACTTCTTCATGGCCATTTCAGAACTCATTCCATAAAAGAGCTTGTATTTCTTGCCATCTCTCTCAATGAGTTCGCCACCTGATTCACTGTGTCCAGCCAGCATGCCACCCAGCATCACAAAGTCAGCCCCTGCCCCTGCCAAAATCAAGAAGTTGGAAAAGATGCATCTGGCCAAGGTACCCATATAGGCACTGTCAAAAACAGCTTGTGCAAGTCTCGATTCCTGCTGGGTCTGTTTGCATAACTGATCCACAAGTCCTTGAGAATGCCTCTGCTCTGGCCTCTGCTCCCCAGTGGGTCTGACTATCTCAAGATTTTTAAAGACCTAGAAGTTCCCTCACTGGCTTCTGCTTTTCCAATCTTCTTTAACTTCATAAAGAAAATATGTCTCCAATTTTTAAAGATTACCTTGGAAATAGAAAAATGAATATTTGTAGTTCTGTTCCTCAGGGTGATTTTGTAGGTCAGATATAGGGTGCAGCAATCTATATTACATTGTCAATCTAGGGCATGTCATAAATAGCCCTGGCTCACCCTTGGGAAGGTCAAAATCTCAGGATTTCCTTGATTGCTTGTCCCAGATGACATTTAGGTTTCAGGGTCACTGGTGTATGAATCTAAATGGCTTCTTCAGCTGTGTCTAGCTTGACATCTTGCCCTTAGACCCTCAGCATCGATTTATCTTCTACAGGATCTTCCTGCCATGCCCTCCCAGTCTCCTTACCAAAAGCCTTTGCCACATCCCCAGGACAGCTGCAGCCTCCATCCTACAAAATAAGGAATGCTGTGAGAGACAGCATAGATTTCTCAAGACTTATCAACTGCCCATGTCAAAGTGGACCAGAACTCATGTCCTGACCAGGACTTCACCACAGCCCCACACTGCAGAAAACAATGGCTGCTGAGCAGCCACGAGACCTCTCCAGGTCTTGAGTCTTACCGAAATGATATGGCCTTTGAGGCCATGAGCAGCATCTGCACACTCCATCACTGCACTGAGCTGTGGATACCCCACTCCAGTTTTCTTCCGAGTTGTACAGACAGAGCCTGGGAAGAGAGACAGAGGTGAGAGTGAACTGTCCTATGGATTTTGCCTTCCAACAGGGCAGATGACACGATGGCCCCAAGGAACCAGCTTACCAGGACCAATTCCCACTTTGATGATGTCAGCCCCAGAGAGGATTAGCTCTTCTACCATCTCTCCTGTTACCACATTTCCTGCCTGAGACAATAATCAAAACAGAGCATTCTTAGGGTCAGTGGTGGAGAACAGCTTTTGTGCTCTCATATAATCCATGCCTTGACTGGCCTTCCTATTACAGATAAAGGGGACCTAGAGCCCTCTCCAGGACCTTCCACCAAAGGACCTAGATTCCCACTCACCCATCCTCCACCCCACCTACATACTTTGACTAAGTGTGGAGGAGAGAGGAAACAACACTGTCATGTAAAAACAGGTCCAGAATGACCTTTAAGGCAGCAAGGTGAGGCAACAAGCCATAAAGTAGCATTAAAGAGCAGTTGGTGAGTCAGAAACCCCACTCAGATTGACAGTAGTGCCCATTCGCTAGCAGGGGACTACTGCCCAGTCCTGGAGCTCTCTACCTTGAAAAAAATGGAAAGACACTGGAATGTGGGCTAAAATATTCATCTTCCCAACAGTGTGTGGACAGTGTGACACCCCCTTCAATGCTGTGAAGAAGACGAAGCCTTGGATTTTGTCTCTAATAAGCTTCTAAAAAATAAAACAGTTTTATATGATACTTTTTGTTGTTAGTTTGAGACAGGCTCTCAATCTGTTTCAATTCCCCAAGTACTGGGATTATAGATATGTATCAATGTTAGGCTTTCATGTAATACTTTTTGTTATAGCACGGGCAGTAGGCAGACATATGTACAACAGGTACGTGCAATGTGTAAATGTCCCATCGTGTTTTTTAAGTCCTTGATTAACTATGAATCAAAGGTCAGAGTTGTTGCACTGATTAATACACATTTTAAACTCTGAACCATGACAGTAATATGTAGAAGTGCAGCAGAGACCAAGTACTGATACGACAAAAGGAAATGCCAGGAGAGAGGAGACAAAAGTAACAGGTTAATAATACTCAGAGTGTGGTGGTGCATGCCCTTAATCCCAGCCCTCCAGAGACAGAGGCAGGCATATCTCCTGAGTTTGATGTCAGACTGGTCTACTGAGTAAATTCAGGGCAGCCAGAGATACAGAAGCCTTGTCTCAACAAAATAAAAATGTAGAAACATACCATGATGGTGTGTTGGGGGAATCGCTTCCGTACATCCTTTACAAATTCAACAAAATGTTCAGAGTAGCCATTAGCCACATCCAGGCATATATATTTTACTTGAGGAATAGCTTCCAGGATCTGTTCCAGCTGCTCAAAGTCAGCAGATCCTGTGCCTGAGCTGGCAGCTAGATACTGTGGAGAAAAAGCATTAGACCAATCTGCAGCACTGTATCAGAAATGAGGTGGTAAGTGGCCAGTAGGGATTAAAGGGGAGGGTTGATTTCCAAAAGGATTCCTGGAAAACTAATGAGCAGGGTAGGCCCAGAGTTACCTCAAGACAGTCGGGATTCTGGCTAGCAAACTCCTGCCATTGATGGATGCTGTAGTGCTTATGGATGGCAGTGAACAGGGAGAACTGAAGGAAAAAAAAAACACATCAAAAGGGCAGAAACTTGATTAGACTATCTAGATATATCTTTATACTGCCTTGAGAGAAAATGAGACAATAGTGTGAGGAAGTTCATGGTTGAGCTGAGCCACTATTAGTCCTACAATCCCAGTACAGCCTTTACTCATTAGCACTTGTCCGGTATTCCTACCAAAGTACTGTGGTTCAGGTTGGGTTTCAACTAGTAGCACACTCATTGTTCATGACCTTAAAAATGATAGGGACATGCTCTTGGTACAATAGAACAAGTAACAGGTCTGGAGGAACTAAAGAGGCTAAATGGAGAGGGAGTTTGTCTACATTCAGCTCTAAGGGGATCCAGTTCTTAATCTATGTTTTCCTCTCTTTTGGTTTACTTGTTGGTAGTAATCCAACAAGTCTAGATACACAGAAAGTTAAGGGCTTAAGACTGGTAGAGGAACAAAATACTATTGCAACTATTCTCTCTTCTGCTGGAAAAGAACAGACTGTTCATATTAGGGACATAAACATGCAAATACAAAGATCAATGTCATTTCTCTTAAGCAAACTCAAAAAGACAATGATTTCCAGGCAGTGGTGGCGCAGACCTTTAATCCCAGCACTTGGGAGGCAGAGTTCAAGGAGAGCCTGGTCTACAGAGCAAAGTTCCAAGACACCAAAGGTTATACAGAGAAACTCTGTCTTAACTAAAATAAAACCTCTGACTCATGAAATTCCAAATATCTCAATACTGTGAGAAAGGCATAGAGAAGACACTGTGAATACTGGTGTTTTTGCTTTCTGAGCATAAGTGTGCAACTCCCAAGAGTCAGTAGTTGGTTGAAACAGCACAAATTTTTCAAGTGAGAAGAAACACAAGTCAATTATCAGCCAACCACAGGGAGTTCTATGCATAAGAGCCAGTATTCTGCTTTCTCAGTAAAATCAACTGTCAACATGTTGATAATCAAAAGCTATAGGTGATCAGCAGGTCTTGGAGATATGTTGGTTTAATAAGTTCACCCAATATATACAAACCTTAAGAAAAACCTTGCTTGTATCTAACCTTTTTATCATTATTGAGACTTGGCTATTTTTCTAAAATTTGATTTCTGTAGTACTTGTCCACATTATTGAAATCCAGTCCTCAGTAAGGTTCATGGATTACAGCATGTCTTTTAACAGATTTGCCAATTCCCCAAATCCACCTGTCAGAGAAGGCAGACAAGAGATAACAGATGGAACCCTGAAGAATTAGTAAATGGTAACAGGAATAAGGTAATAAAACTTCATAATTATGAGTCTCAGAGAAAGCACAACAAATATTCTATATAAACAGAAAGAAAACAAAACAAAACAAAAAACCCAGGTCTTTAAGGGTAACAGCCACAAACAGAAACAGAACTCATTAACTAGGGCTACATGGGTTAACTAGCAAAGCACACTATGTTCTCAAAAGTGCCCAGGCAACTATCTACCTTCTCAGTTACATGCATAGAGGCAACAGAGATTACTGACAGGAGCAGTGTCTTCCATTTTCAAAGGGAACAATCTGTATTTAAGAACAAAACTTCCATTTGGGATAGATCTCACAAACTCCCAGGAACCTAGAACTTAAAGAAGTGAAAAATTAAAAGAATAGTAGGCATACAAGAAACCTAATAAAGTCCTTTTCTCTGATATTCCAGGTAGAAAATTTTAAATACTCAAAACAGTATTAATTTCTGGACTAAAACAGTGACTGTTTAATGTTCAAAGGATGACTGACTAAAGAAATGCATGTGATTGGGTTGACCTGGGTGAGCACTGGAAGAATTTGGTAAAGATATAACTTATGGGGAGTTACAAATAAAAAGGATGAAACAAAGCTAATTTTGAATCTCATTAGTTCAGACAGATCTTTGAACTGATCAAAGGGTTCTTAGTAATGGAAAAATTAGTAAACCCAACATTCTGTTAATTGCCAGAGACTGAGAGTGGAGATGTAATGCCTCTGTAGCCAGCTGGGATAACATTTGGTAGGGTGTATAAGGTTAATCTCACCTTACAGAGAACCTTAGCCATTTCAAAAGTACCCACGGTATCCATATTGGCAGCAATGATAGGGATGCCATTGTACATCTGCTTTGAGTTCCGGAACGAAAATGATCTTGTGAGATCTACCTGTAGACATTAACAGGACATTAAGCATTTCATTCATTCAGAAAATATATATCATATTAGAACCCGACAGCTTTCTTGGTCCTGGTCCATTAGAAGCTTGAGGTTAAAAAAAAAAAAAAAAACAACCTGGCTCACCTCACTTCGAGACTTAAGAGTGCTGCGTTTGGGCCTCAACAGGACATCCTTGAAGTCTAGTTTCACATCATTGTCAATATGAGGCATGATGCAGGGCTGGAGCTAGATTTAAAAAAAAAAAAAAAAAGAGCTGTAGGAGTGGGAAGTAAAGTTCTAAACCAAGTCCCCTGTGAGCCTCAGTGTCTTGATGACGGTAGGACAAGAACCACCTCTCATGCTTAAATTGTGTATAGTCAGATCAGGGTGTGGTCCTTGAAGTCTCGCTGGGACCATCCTGTGTCTGGATTACCCTAATGCTTCAATCCCAAGTATGATTTTTAGGGAGAACTGGAAAGCGATTATGATCTCTGAACGTGCTTCCTTACCCGGTTAATCTCCCTTTTCCCACCCCTGCAAGGGGCAATTTAGAGTAAGAGGCTTACTTAGTAAGAGAGGAGAAAAGATATTTTAAACAGCTTCCGGCACAGCGGTACTCACTTCCTGTTGCTTTGACTCAGGTGGCAGTTGACCAAAGATTCTTTTGCTTAGCAACTACCCGCGTGCGGCCTCGATGAGCCTTCAGGGCGACTCAAACAAGTTCCGCTAATTGCAAACTCGACTACCCAAGGAATTCTAGCTTCGGGCGTTGTGCACGGCCTTCTGGGTAACAGAGTCCACACATTGAGGCTGCCGTTGAGTGCGAGCGGCAGGAGGACTACAACTCCTAGGATACAAAGGACGGAGCTGCCTCCAGGCATGATGGGAAAAGTAGTTTGTTCTGTTCCAGCTCGCCGCTAACACCAGTTCGCTGGGCACGCGCGGGGTCTCAGGACGTCGTCTGGCTGTTCCTAAGCCGGCTTGCCTTTCTCTTTACAACCCCACTGACACAAAACACGAGGACATTCCTGAGCGTTTCGGGAACCGGGTGGAAAGCGGAGAGGGTTGGTCCGGAGAGTGACCCGGAAGCAGAAGTGTTCCTCACCGTGGAGTGCTGGGAAGCGGCAGCAGCAGCAGCAGCGACCACAGCGGTAGAAGCAGCACTCTAGCCGCCTGCAACCCCAACCTGGAAGGAAGATGCTAATTAAAGTGAAGGTGGGAGCGTTTCCAGACTTTTCCAAGACCCAGTTGTGCTGAGTTGGCCGCTACGCCTTAGGGGAGAGGCGGGAAGGAAGACCATGCCTTTCCTGAACTTGGAGGGCTGACACCCTCGGGGCCCCGCGCGAGGCGTGATGGGAACTAGGGGGACCCCGGGAGGCTTTGAGCTCTGGAGGCCGGTCCAACCTGAAAACCTCGGGTGTTTGCCTCTCCTACTACTTTGCCAGGTCTGTGTTCTGACCTAGAAGGAGGCAGCGTTTGTCTTGGGCTCACTGTCTTCAAGCCCTTGCAGTCATAGAGAAGGCTTGGCTCCTCACTCCAGGATTTTTTGGAAAAGCTTTGTCCTCTAGTCTTCATGCTTAGATTGTATACTTCCCTCAGGCCCTAACATAGGCTACCTCCAAAGCACAGTACTGAAGCATTAGTCTGATGAAAGTGAGGGCCTTTCAGTAGCCAGATTATGAGCCAAGGTTAGTGTCTCACCCGTCTTTCAGTAGCTAAACTATGAGTTGTGACCATTTGGCACTTCCTGTCGGACATTAAGACCTAGCCTCACTTCTTTGGCCAATTCAGGCTATTTATCGGTGCGTTGGTTCTTGGTACTCTGTCTTCTTCAACTCCCTTAGTTCTTCACTTTTAAGCCCTTGTCAGGCCATTCTGCTGTTTTTACCTTTGTACATTTAGACAGAAACACAAAAGATAATAATGAGAAGGCCTGGCATTAATTTGACCTTTTCATCGCCGTGTGAGTCTGTCTTCAGCTACTGTATACGTCAGCTGTTAGCCTTTTTCCCCCCTAGTCCTTCCAGAAAACTTTAATTAAAGATCGAAGCCAGAGCGCAGGTTGATGTTTACTGTTTTTCAGACACGGGTAATCTGTGAGCTAGTCTTTGAGTCTTAAACACCATTTTATTCATTGTTTTTTTAATGTATACAACACTGTGTTCTGGGTAGGTTTCTCAGACTTAATGGATCATAAGAATAGTAGTCCCTCCCCGTTCAGTGGATTATAATAATGGAGGAGGAGGAGGTGGTGATGGTGGTGGTAGTGGTGGTGGTGGTATTTGTATCCCAGCCTCTGTAGCCTAGGCTGCTCTCAAACTTGTGGAGATCCACCCGTGTTAGCCCCCTAATTGCTGACAAGACAAGCTAATGGCAGTGTGCTCATCCACCGTGCACAGTCCTCCTTGGTGTGAACCTTCAGAGGCTAGGATTACAAGCAGGCATCGTCTTAGTATTTGCCACTCTCCTGTTCTGCAACACCTGCCTGTTTGTTTTTAAATCAAATTGTTTATTATTTGTATGTGTATGAGTGCTTTCCGTGCTTGTATGTCTTTGCACCTGTGTGCCTGTTCCCCAAGGAGACCACTAGATTCCCTGGAACTGGAGTTAACAGGTAGTTAACATGTGAGCCACCATGTGAGTTCTGGGAACTGTATCCAGCTCCTTTGAAAGAGTGCTCTTAAACACTGAGGCATCTCTTTAGCCCCACTTCTGTCTAATGTTAATCCCTCTGTCCATCTCTGTCTTGCATATATTATATTTATTATATATGTGCATGCATATTATTTGAAGATTATTCTCTTTCCAACTGCTCCTCTTTATTGCTGACTTCTTGCCTATCTCTCTTTCTTTCTTCACAATTAAGTCCTTCCTGGTTTGGTTTTGTTTGGAATGGGGTAGAGCATTGTGTATGCTAGCTACCAGCCTAGACCATTTCTGAATGAAATGTGTTACCCTATGTCTGTGGTTCTCAGAATGTAGCATCTTCTATCATAACTCACCTTCCCATTACCCTGATCCTGGGTTAATCCTTCGAGTCTTCCAGGTATCTGGAACACAATTTTTTTTAAAGATTTATTTTATTTGTTATGTATACAGCGTTCTGCCTGCATGTATGCCTACAGGGGAAAAGGGGGTACCAGATCTCATTACAGATGTTTGTGAACCACCATGTGGTTGCTTGGACTGAACTCAGGACCTTTTTAAAAGAAGCCAGTGCTCTTAACCTCTGAGCCATCTTTCCAGCCCTGGAACACAGTTCTTGAGCCATTTCTTTTTTATAGCTCTTTACTTTTTGTATGAAACCAATTTCTGCTTTACTTTTCTTCCCATCCTATTCAGATGTGGAGTGTCCTTAACTTTCTGGGTGATACCTCCATGTCTTCATACTATCATGCTTCCTCTGATGCAGTGGTTCTCAACCTTTGTATTGCTGAGACTCTTAGACAGCCCCCATCTTCTGGTGACCCCACACCGTAAACCTTTTTGTTACTATTTCATAGCTGTAAGTTTATTTCTGTTGTGAATCATAATGTTACTTACTATCGTGTTTTCTGATGGTCTTGGGTGCTCATGGTTATATTACTGTGAATTTCACATTGTTAATACAAGTCTTTTTTTTAAAAGATCTATTTTATATATGTGAGTATACTATAGGTGTGTTCAGACATATCAGAAGAGGGCATCAGATCACATTACAGATGGTTGTGAGCCACCATATAGTTGCTGGGAATTGAACTCAGGACCTCTAGAAGAACAGACATTGCTCTTAACCACTGGCTGAGCCATCTCCAGCCTTTCTTTCTTTCTTTCTTTTCTTTTTTTTTTTTTTAATAGGAGTGGAATTGCTAGGTCATGGTAGATGTCATATATAACTTTAAAAGAACTGTCAAATTGTTTTCCAGGGAGTCTGCCAGTTACCGTCCCACCCTGCAGTAGCTGGAATACAGAAGCTTTCCAGCTGCCTTGATTATATAGTGAGACCTCGTCTCAAAAACCAAACAAAAGCCTCCAATCCATAATGTATAGATCTTTCATCACCACAGTATGATAACTTGGTATCAAGAATATTTCTTGGGGGCTGAAGAAGTGGCCAGTGGCTCCTGGCCTCTTGGCTCTTTCTCTCATTGTCTGTCTGTACTAACCATGCTCCTGTGCTGTGTGGCTGTCCACAAACACAAACAACATGTGGTGTTCTCTCTTTTCTGTATTCCTCCTTCACACAGCTGCTGAGGCTACAGCTTGCCTGCCCTGAGGTTTTTCCTTTAAACTTCAGTAAAATTATCCTTAAACTTTAAAAAAAAAAAAAAAAAGTTCAGATCATCCTTGGCTACATAGTACAGCCTAGGATATGTCTTAAAACAAAAAGCAAAATCCTGTATTATTCATTCTTAGGCCCATATCATCTCAAATTATCATCTCTCAGACATTGTTATATGTAAAACTCATCTGTCCTGATTTTTTGAACCAAAGCCCAGAAAGCATAGCATATATTTATTTGTAAAAGAATTGCCACACAGAAAAAATTAGATGACTGGTGGGCATGGTAGCATGTTTCTTTCTCATGAGTTCAAGGCTAGCCTGATCTACATAGAGAGTTCCAGGTCCTGTCTCACAAAACAAGACTTAATGACTTCTTGCTGTCACCAGGTGACCCAGTGCTCATTTGGTTCATTTGTTTTTTTTGTTTTTTAAAATATACTTCACTTTCTTCTTCATTTCTTATCAGTTGGTAGTTAGATCACAGGCTAGAGTATTCTTTTTTTAAATTATATCCATGATTTCACTGGAAGCTATAAAATGAAGTCACTAATTCTGTTGCTTCATAGAGTAGCAAGAATGTTTGAGTTGTTTCCGTAATAGTAGCAGTTAGTGTGTACACTGAAATGTGATTAGTGAAACTGAGGAATTTAAGGCTTAAAGATCCTGAATTTTAATTAATTTAAAGTTTAGAGGTGAGCTGGGTAGCTGAGTCTGGTAGTGCAGCTCTGTAACCCTAACTCCTCAGGAGACTGAGGCAGGAGGAGCCTAAGATCAGGCACGGTGTGAGTTCAAGGCCAACTTACACAACTTAGAACCTCCAAAAAAAGAAGAGAGTTGGTGAGATGGCTTAGTGGTTAAAAGCATTTACAGCCTGGTTCCTACCACCCACGTGGCAGCTTGAAACCATCTGTAACTCAAGTCCCAAGGAATCTTGCACCCTTTTCTGGCCTCCACATGCACCAGACATGCACTAGGTATATTTACATACATTCAGACAAAGCACTCATACACATAAAAAATAGTTTTTCCAGCACTCAGAAGGCAGAGACAGGAGTCTAAGGCCAGACCCTGTCTCAGTAAACAAACAAATCAATCTTTGGTGCAACATAGTGACAAACTGCCTAAAGTAAGTAATTTTTAGGGGTGCAGAAGAAGCCTAAGGATACAGCTCAATGAAGGTCTCACCTGACATGCAGGGGAGGAACAGGTGAAGAGGGAAGAGGAAAAGAGAAATAAGAGCCTATAAGGTGAGGCTTGACCCTGGAGACTCAGCTCCTCAGGAAGCTGAAGCAAGAGAATCATCTGAGCCTAGAAGTGTTTAAGATCAGCCTGGGCAGCACAGCAAGGACATGTCTCAAAAATAGGAAAAAAGGGGGGCCTTTTATTTAAAATAAATACATAAAGCCCAGCTGATGGCTCAGTACTCTGGAGACAGATAAGGGCAGCCTGCTCAGTGAGCTTTGGCTAATCAGGGCTACACAGTGAGACCTGGTGTAAAAACAAAACCACAAAGTCTACTGCATCTTCCCTTCATCCCGCTCCCACTTCTTTGCAAAAATCACTATTGTGAGTTCTTTTTTTCCTCTGTATATACATATGTGAGCATCTAGATATCAATACATAATTATACATTTGAATAATTGCATACTGTGGTATAATGAGATGGCTCAATGGGTAAAGATCTTGCCAACAAGCCTAAAAACCTGGAGTTCAATCCTTAGGATTCACATGGAAGGAGAGAACTGACTCTTATAAATTGTCCTCTTTGTTTCACATGTATACCATGTAACAAGTATACTCACACACAAACATGCAGGTAGGTAGACTAAAGAAGTGTAATAATAAGAATTACACATTGTAGTTCGAGGCCAGCCTGGTCTACAGAGTGAGTTCCAGGACAGCCAGGGCTACACAGAGAAACCCTGTCTCGAAAAACCAAAAAAAAAAAAAAAAGAATTACACATTGTTACTGCATACATAAAATACATACATAAAATAGTCTGTATTTTTATTTTGTAGGGGGCAGTATGTGTGGTTGCACATGCCACAGGGAATATGTGGAGGTCAGAGGAGAACTTTGTGGGGTTGGATCTCTCTTTACATAGTTCCATTAACTTTTTCTAAGTTAATGACCTAGCCATGAAATTCTATAGTTGAAAAGTCTTTGTGTTTCAAGTATTAAAATAAATAAAGCAAAATGATAGCTGGACAATATAGAATTACAACCCTCCCTTTGTCATGTGAGAAATTTATTTTTTATTTTATTATTAAGTCAAGATCTCATGTCAGACTTGCCTGGACCTATATGTAGCTAAGGATGATCTTGAATTTGTTATGTTCTTGTCTCTACCTCCCAAGTGCTAGGATTCCAGCTGTGCACTAAAGACCCAGTTTATACAGTTTATGTTATGGAACACTCTACCTACTGAGCTACATCTTCAGCCCTAATTCTCTGTGTTTTTGAGATAGATCAGGCTGGCCTCAAATTTATTAACCTCAGTACCTGGGAGTACTGGGATAATAGATTGCTCTTTCAAAAGACCTAGGTTCTGATTCTTAGCATCCACATGACAGCTCATAATCATTAATACCAGTTCCAGAGGATCTCATGCCTTCTGAGTGCATGTGGTGTATCGTCTTCTGAGAACATGCAGGTATGACACCTATACAGGTAAAATAAAAATAAAGGTTTAAAAAATAAAAACAGCTGTCATAGAATGCACCTATAGTCATAATACTTAGAAGGTGGAGACAGGAAGATCTCAAATTTGAGGCTGGCCTGGGCTACAGAGTAATGAGAGGTCAGCCTGAGCTACATAGTAAGACTTTGTCTCAGAATAAAACAAGATGAAAAAAAAAAAGGTGGTATTGGTGTTAAGAGTGTTAATGACATTAACTAGAACAGATAAAGGCGTTATACATAGGAAATTTTTAAATTACATTTATGTAATATATAAGTGCATGTTTATGTGGGCATGTGAAGGTCAGAAGACAACCGTGCAGAAATTGGTGTTGTCTCTTCCATGTGGGACCCATGAATTGAACAAAGGTGATTGGGTATGGCAGCAAGTGCCTCCACTCGTTGAACCATCTTGAGGAAATCCTATATTAAAGATCCTTGAAGTTTAAAGGAAGAAGGGAGGGTATTGAAGAAAGTAGAAGCAAAAAACAAACAAACAAACAAACAAACAAACAAAAACCCAAACCAGGCCAAGTGTGGTGTTTGTGGTCAGAATTACTGCAGATCTATCTGTAAGAGCAAATCCATAAGCCATAGGGCACACACCTGAAATCACAGCAGTTAGGAGGCTGAGACAGGAAAATTATAAGGCTGGCCTGGAACACGTGGTGAGTTCCAGGCCAGTCTAGACTGCCTAATCAAAGCAATACAAAGATGATGGATGCATTAGAGATTGTATGAATCACAGATTTATAGTTTGTATGCAAATATATTTGGTTATCTAGTTTTAACCTGTAGAAATTAAACAATTTGAGTTGTAGTTTAGGATTTAGATAGAATTCTGGAAAACATAGGAAAAGAATATAATGTTCAACTCTAGCATTTCAAAAAAAAATCTAATTGGTAGTGATTTCTTGCACCCTTGAGAATTCTTTGAATTATGTAAATATGATTTGTGTACCAGAATAAAGTCCTTATTTAAGGATTGCTTTACCTAGTTAACTTGCCATTGTGTTTCATCCAAAGAATTCCTGATATTCTTCCTGAGGGGGGTGGTGGGGGAGATGGCTTGTGACATTAAGGGAATCAAATGGGTCACAGAATGCTGTCTTCCTCACACTGCTTGATATGACATGGGCTGTGGCACAAGCCTTCTGATTCTTCAAGGTAGTATTGCTAAGAATATATACATCTCAACAGAGAAAACCCCAGAGACCAAGGTAAGATATTATACTTAGAACATGTCTTGCCAGGCAGTGGTGGTGCACACCTTTAATCCTAGCACTTGGAAGGCAAAGGCAGGTGGAATCTCTGAGTTAAACAACCAGGGCCACACAGAGAAACTCTGTCTCAAAAAAACAAATAAGTCTTTTCTATTTTTGTGAAAAAGATACCATGATAAAAGAACATATTTAATTTAGGACTTACAGTTCCAGAGGGTGAGTCCAATACTATCATGGCAGGGAGCATGACAGCAGACAGGCAGGCATGGTGCTGGAGCAGAAGCTAAGAGCTCAAACCTCAATCCACAAGCATGAGGCAGAGGAAGAGAACAAAGGGATGGCTTGGGCTTTTGAAACCCCAAAGCCTGCCACTAGTGACACACCTCCTACAACAAGACCACATCTCTAATGCTTCCCAGTTCCGCTAACTGTGGACCATGTATTCAAACGTGAGCCTATTCTCATTCTGTCCACCACTGAAGGCAAGTTGGTACTGGGCTGTGGGACTTAATGACATCTTTGTCTGTTTTAGACGCTGACTGGAAAGGAGATTGAGATCGACATCGAACCCACAGACAAGGTGAGGTATACTCAGCATGTCTTTCTCCTTTCTCTGTGTGTTTCTTTGCCTGTGCTTATGACCTTGGTTCTTTTGTTCTCAAGTTGTCTGTACAGTCTTTGTTCTTAGTGTTTGTTTGTTTTGGTTTTACTAGACAGAGTTTCTCTCTGTGTACCCCTGGCTGTCCTGGAACTCAGGCTGGCCTTGAACTCATAGAGATCAGCCTGTCTCTACCTCCCAAGTGCTGAGACTAAAGACTAGTATTTGTATAATTCTAAGCAGCCTCTGACCACTTGTTTCTCCAAAGGTGGAGCGAATCAAAGAGCGTGTGGAAGAAAAAGAAGGAATTCCCCCACAACAGCAGCGGCTCATCTACAGTGGCAAACAAATGTAAGCTTGGGTGGAAAGTGAGGTGTAGCCTGAGAGGTTGAATGCAGGGAAAGGTGACGAGGCCAGAGGTGCATCAGGCCTGCACTACTTCAGTGTGTCCCTGCTTTCAGCTCTTTGGCAATCTGATAAAGCACAGGGAGTCGTCTCAGAATAAGAGAATGCATTGACTATTCCAGACACAAAATAAAATAGATTGAATTATAAACTAATATTAAAACAGTTAAACTACTAAAACAAATTTGTAGAATAGTAATATATGTGCTTCTTTATTAGTGTACTTTAAAATTGGTTATGTTCAGTTGTGTATGTATTTATAGGTATGTACACTTGAGTGCGGGTGCCTCTCAGATTTCAGAGCTGTCAGATCCCCCTGGAACTTTATTTAAATAAGACTGTGAGCCTTCTGAAGTAGGTACTGGGGGATCTGAACTCAGGTCCTTTGCAAGAGGAGCAGTTTGAGCTTTTAACTTCTGAGCAATCTTTCTAGCCCTCTTTATTAATATCTTATTGTAAGGCCTAATGATTAGTCTGATAACTGCTTTTTTCTTGTTTGTAAATTTTCTTTTCTTTTTTTTTCTTTTTTTTTTTTTTTTTTTTTTTTTTTTGGTTTTTCGAGACAGGGTTTCTCTTTATAGCCTGGGCTGTCCTGGAACTCACTCTGTAGACCAGGCTGGCTTCGAACTCAGAAATCCGCCTGCCTCTGCCTCCCAAGGGAGAGGCTGGGATTAAAGGCGTGTGCCACCACCGCCCAGCATTTGTAAATTTTCAAGGGCTCGAGAGATGGCTCTGTATTTAAGAGCACTGACTGCTCTTCCAGAGGTCCTGAGTTCAATTCCCAGCAACCACATGATGGCTCACAACCTTCTGTAATGGGATCTGATGCCCTCTTCTGGTGTGTCTGAAGACAGCTACAGTGTACTTATATACATAAAATAAATAAATTAATTCTAAAAAAAAATTTCAAGATACTTGCAAACAGTCATAATGTAATATAAAGATAATCTAATTTCTATTGTGTAAGTTACCATATTGTTAACACTGTGAGTCTCTTTGTCTATATTCAAAATTAAATACTAATTACCCTTAGAGGTTAGTAAAAGAATATTTTTCTCATACAGTTTCGCAGGCCTCAGAGATCCACCAAACCCAGGTTACAAATGCCCATTTTAGATGGTATTCTAATGCTTTTTCTTCCTCGTAGGAATGATGAGAAGACAGCAGCTGATTACAAGATTCTAGGTGGTTCTGTCCTCCACCTGGTGTTGGCTCTTAGAGGAGGAGGTGGTCTTGGACAATGAAGAAACTTGGTTCCGTTTACCTCCTTGCCCTGCCGCTCATAATGTGGCATCACATATCCTCTCACTCTCTGGGACACCAGAGCCACTGCCCCCTCCCTTGGATGCCCAATCTTGTGTGTCTGCTGGTGGGAGAATGTAAGGACCCCAGGGTGCAGTGTTCCTGGCCCAAATGGCCCTTGCTGGCTATTGGGCTTTAGTTTGCAGTCCCGTGTGCTTCCCTCTCTTATGGCTATATCCTTGGTTGTCAATAAAATATTTCCTGGCCTTCTGGACTCTTCTTCTTGACACAAATGACTGAAGTCAAATGGCCGTAATGGTAACCAGTAGAAGTAGATCGGTGGAGGAAGGGTGCTCTTAGGTCTGTTTTGAGAAAGTGTGGTTGTGTTGGGGGACAGGGTTGGGAGGTGTCTAACTTTGTAGCCCCAGCTGGCCTATAACTATGTAGACAGACTATATATAGACTATATATATATATATAGACAACTGCCCTCACATGGATCTGTCTGCTGGGATTAAATGTGCCATCAGCCTGGAATATTCTTTATTTTGAAACAGATTTTTAATAGGTATCCCAGACTGGCCCTGAACTCTTGATTTTTTTTTTTTTTTCTTTTGGAAACAACGTTTATAGCTCTAGCTGTCCTGGAACTCTTTCTCCTGAGTGTTGGAATTAAAGGAGAAGGCCACTACACCCTTGAATTTGTAATTTTGCCTTCGCCTACCTAGTAGGTGGGATTACAGGCATGACCCACCACCTGGCTTTAACATAGCTTTTCAACTGAAAAACATTTTAGTCCATTATACCAAATGATTATGGATGAGAGTGTTGTCATCCTGCATAGATGGGCACACTGAGCCCAGAGGAATTATTTATTCAAAGTTCTAAATGCCAGTTTACCCTGCTTTTGCACTCCACGTGAGAAACAAGCTCAGATTGTGTTTGGTCCTCATCCCCTAAAAGGATCTTTAGACTAGGAAAGCCTACTCCAAAGTTGTGCTGCGGTCAGTTCTTCTAAGCTCATGAGTGCCAAGTGTTGTCACTCTTCCTAACTACTGTGTTAAATGGCTCTCTTGGTGTTGGTAATTGAAATCAGACATGGTAGCTGGCTCTGGTGGTTCATGCCTGTAGTTCCAACACTTGGGAGGCTGAGACATGAGAATCAAGAATTCCAGAGCAGTTTCAATTTCTCAATTGAGAAAGGAAGAAAAGAGGAGGAGGAGGAGGAGGAGGAAGAGGAGGAGGAGGAGGAGGAGGAGGGAGAGATTGTGTCAAGAATAGTTTCAGAAATAGGCTAACAGCTACAAATTCATTTGTACAAACCCATATATCTGTTAAAATACTGTTGCTGAGGATGGTAGAAACCAAGGGAAGAAATCCTTTCCCAGTGCAGCCCTCCTGGGCCTTCACAGTGGCTTGGAGAAAGTATCAAAGACTTTACAAATTCCCCCACCCCCTTTATAAGACTAGATTTTCATTCATTGCCCATGCTGATCTCAATTCCTAGGTATCAGTAACCTCCCCTGGCTAGGCCTCTTGTGTAGCTGTGGTTAAAGCATACGTCACTTTGGGGTGCATACACTACATTCTTTCTGCTTATTCTGTTGCTGAAGACTGGTTTTTACTGTCAATAAGTGCAAAAGAAGACAAGATGAGCGCAGAGAAATAAACTGATGAGATGAGGTCTCAGTTCCAAGATAGAAATGCAAAAGGAAGCTTCTGTGGCTTCTCTAGTGAAAAGTGAGTTGGGTGGTGTAAGTAAGCAAGGAATGCTTGTGGCCAGTGCCTTGGAGAGAGGTGTGGTTGCCCGCTGCCTGTACTTTCCCCGCAGGGCCTCCAAAGGCGCTCTTGCGCTATCGGAGGAGGCCGAGAAGACGCTCTAGTCACCAGAGCTGCGCCGGTTCTCTGTGGTGGGCACGCCGCCTACTTTGCCACCGTACAGTTGGGGTGCGCTCAGCGCCAAGTTTGGGTTTGCAGGTGGATCATGACGCGGCTGCCAAAGCTTGCGGTTTTTGATCTGGGTAAGAAACGGCAGGGAGATTTTATAAGGCCCTTCCTTTTCCCGCTCTCCGCGATAGCTAAGTGTCTGCGCTCCTCTAGCTTGAACCTTCTTCCTTCTTCCTCTCGCAGATTACACGCTCTGGCCTTTCTGGGTTGATACACACGTAGATCCCCCATTCCACAAGAGCAGGTGAGACAATGGGGAGGTATGGGACCAGGAAGGACCTTGCAGGAGCTGAGCGTTGTGTCATCCTCTCCAGCGATGGAACTGTACGAGATAGTCGGGGCCAGAACATCCGATTGTACCCGGAGGTGCCCGAAGTATTGGAAAGGTTGCAGAGCCTTGGAGTGCCGGTCGCTGCTGCTTCACGGTGAGATAAGTGACAGTTCTGCAGACTCAAGTAGATGCATAAAGAAATTGCATGTAACTCCCTGGGTACCAAAAATTAGGAGGTACAAATGTACAAATATTTTAGTTGCTTTTCATTGTTTGTTCGTTTGTTTTTGTTGCTGTTTTCGAGACAAGGTTTCTCTGTGTAGCCCAGGCTGTCCTGGAACTTGATCTGTAGACCAGGCTGGCCTCCAACTCACAGAGATCCGCTTGCCTCTGCCTCCCAAGTGCTAGGATTAAAGGCGTGCACTTTCCATTGCCTGGCTTTCGTTGCTTTTCTATCATTTGCTTTCTGTACTAAAGGTTAGTAGTCAGAATCTCTGGTATTGAATAACATTGGGCAAAGTTGTCCCTTTATCCCCTTATACCTAACTTTGCCTGCATCTCTGACACTCCCCTAATACACGTATTTATTGCCTCTTTTTTTGTTTTAAAGGACAAGTGAGATAGCAGGGGCCAACCAACTCCTGGAGCTCTTTGACCTTGGCAAATACTTTATTCATCGAGAAATCTATCCAGGCAGCAAAGTCACACACTTTGAAAGGTAGGCAGACAGCTGGTGTGGGAGCGGGTGGACCTACCAAAGAGGTCAGCTCCACAACCGGGTTACCCTGACCCTGTTTTTCACAGGTTGCACCACCAAACCGGAGTTCCTTTCTCTCAGATGGTCTTCTTTGATGATGAGAATCGGAATATCATAGATGTTGGCAAACTTGGTACTGAGTTGCTGCTGGGGGGTGAGGGGAAAGTTCGTAGAAGGAGGCAGAGAAAGTAACTGTAGGATGGATAGTGCACAGCAGAGTCTTGAACGCGGGGTAAAGTGGGACTTCTTTTTGTTCCAGGCGTTACCTGCATTCACATCCGGGATGGAATGAGTCTTCAAATGTTAACTCAAGGATTAGAGACATTTGCAAAGGCCCAAGCAGGACTCTGAGGTCCAACCCTGTGGATAAGCCTCATCTACAGTGTAAAACTGAAAAGAAATCAAGAAAGCCTTGTCAGGAGCACTTGTAATGGATTAAAGTGTCCATGTGTGACGTTCAGGGTTTTACCACAGTATGGTCTATTTCCGTTTTTCTTTTTTCAAAAATATTTCAAAAAAAAATTTTTTTAAAGATCTATTTATGTATATGACACTGTCATTGTCTTCAAACACACCAGAAGAGGGCAATGGATCCCATTACAGATGGTTGTAAGCCACCATGTGGTTGCTGGGAACCGCTGAGCCATCTCTCCAGTCCCTGTTTCTGTTTTTCTAACATGTAAACTGGAGTTGTGTCCAGATTAGAATACAAAAGATTAGAGTGCATCAGGTTGTTCCCTTACGTTGGAAGCCATCCAGAGACCTCCTCCAACTATCTCAAATAATGGGGTGCCATAACGCTGCATATTTCCTTTAGGGACTAAAAGCTAATAATGTTTGGGAATAAGGTTGGGGCTGGCCTTTTTTGGTAGTAGGGAGTAATGCAGGAGTAAGCGGGTTGGCCGAGGCTTTGTCCCTTCAAGGTTTTAATTGCGCCTATTGATGATGTCACGGCTATGTTCTGGAGAGATTGGCCAGGCAGTTCTCAGAATGATGATAGTCTCGAAGGAAGGCAGGCAAGCAGAGGGGTGACCCTGGGAGACAATGGGCTGCCTGGGAGGTGCTGGCCAGAGGGAATGGGAACACCACCAAGTCAGGAAGAGGCCCAGGAGACAGGCTGACCCGAAACCGGTTGACCAAGCCTGACACTCTGTTGCCAGAAGGCCAACCTTGTCCATCAGCCTTGACCCAGCCTGCCGTGAGTAGGACTGAGTCAGGGATGTGAATGAAAGATGGTATGGCAATTGTTAACTCCTGTGGCACAGGCTGGAGGGGATTGGTTTCCAGGTGCCTGCATCTAGTCTTTTCTAAAATTTTGTTGCTTACTTGGTTTGAATAAAAGAGGTCTAAAGTGAAGAAGAATGATGATTTTTTTTTAAGCTGTATCTGCTGATGTGGGTGTGTCTAGAAAAAGTCATTGGCAATATAATGTGCAACTCATCGACAGAGATGATCCTGAGGAACCAAGGCAGCATAGAAGTACACTCTGGACACCATGTTCAAAAAGTGTTACCGTTTGCCCCGTGTAACACTGAGCTAACTCCGGGAAGGAGCTTTCAAGAAACAGAAGCCCAAGTACAATAGTTTAGTGAAAACAATTTCTGGCCGTTCTGGGTTTGTGGGATGTGGAGGTGTAAAAAGGGCAGGATGCAGAAGCATTTACAGAGAGGTGAACAGGTCATAAAGGACCTTATAGAATCCAGAAGCATTTTTGGGTTACTATCCTGTTGGCAATGCAGAGAGTATGAGAGGGTTTGAAGCAGGCAGAAACCACCAGGCTTTTATTTGCAAAGGTTATTCACTGTAGAAGATAGAGGAAGAGACTGGTCACGTTATCTTCCCTGCACCCCAGTCCCTTGAACTTCCTTTGATCATGTTTGATCATGTAGAACAGATCCTTTGACATCTCCTAAGATAGACAGCAAGTGGAACAATGGTCATCAAATATGACTTAAAATGAAACTAAGACAGTGCAAAAGAACATGGGCTTTGGAATCAGTTGCTCCTTTTTTTTTCCTCTTTTGAGACACGATTTTGCTATACATAGTCTTGGCTGACCTCAACTCATGTGTAGTTCAGGCTATCCTCCTGTAGCAGCCTTCCAAGTGTTGGTATTTATAGGTATGTGCCACCATGCCCAGCACAATGTTTTGATCACTACTTAATCTACTCAACATGACTTCAGACAAAAACATTTAGATCTTTGTGCTTGTCTTCATATTTGTCCAGTGACACCAACACATTCTTTATAGTCATTTGGAGATGAACAGCTTTGGTAAGAGCTAGCATACACTGGCATACACTTTGCACTCGGTGACTGGCGGCTAATACTTTTCCTTCACACAATACCGGTCTGCTCCATTGGACTCTTGAGGAAAAGAAGAGTTTAATTCCCGAAGAAGCAATACAGAAACTGAAGGAGACAGAAGCAATACTGATCAAGAAACTGGAACTGGAGTTTCAGGTGGATATGAGTTGTCAGATGTGGGTGTTGGGAACCGCTGGGTCTTCTATAAGGCTTTTTCTCTTTTCTTTTTGGTTTTGTTTTGTATGTTTTCTTTAGTTTTGTTTTGGATACAGGGACTTAACTCACAGAGATCTGCCAGCTTTTCTGTCTTCTGAGATTTTTTTTTGTTTTAAATTTCTTTTATTTTTAGTTTTTAAAGATTTATTTTTATTTATATGAGTACACCGAAGCTGTCTTCAGACACACCAGAAGAGGGCATTGGATCCCATTACAGATGGTTGTGAGCCATCATGTAGTTGCTGGGAATTGAACTCAGAACCTCTGGAAGAACAGTCAGTGTTCTTAACCTCTGAGCCATCTCTCCAGCCTCTTAATTTCTTTTATTTATGTGTATGTCTGCGTGTGTTTATATCACATGTGTGGATGTCCACAGAAATCAGAGGAGGGTCTTGGATCCCCTAAAGCTGGAGTTAACAGGCAATATGAGCTGGCTGATGTGGGTGCTGGAAACCGAATGTATGTCCTCTGTAGAACAAGTGCTCTTAACTAAGCCTTCTCTCTAGTCGTCACTTTGGATTTCTTAAATTTCTCAGATAAAATACACATCATGCCTTTAATAATTAGAAACCTTACTTTCTTCATGAAAGATCCTTTTGCTGGCCAGTGTATTCTAAGCAAACAAGATTCATTTTTAAAGCTTCTTTAGGGAAGGAAGTATAAAATCCAATGTGACGCCATATGATGGAAGGATTTTGTCGTGTGAAGTAAGAAAGCCAATGGTGGTTAGTGCTTCAGGGAGCGGAAGCTGAGGAAAGGGTACCCTCTGATTCCTTGGCCATGTATCCTGTTCTTAATGACATTGGAAAGGCAGAGGGACTGATAGCTAATATCACAGAACAACAGGAGCTGGCCCAGCAGATCTTGGATGCCATTTCTCACTCTGTGGGTCTTGGAGATGACAGGCATGAGGTAACTGGGGTGAGGGATCACAGAATATTAGAGTATAGGCAAAAGCATGGGACTGCTTAAAAGGAAACTCGAGAGAAGTTATTGGAACAAATTTGGGAGAGAACTTCAAAAGTGGGCTCTTTGGGGACTGGTTGTTTTCTTGGTTTGTTCTGATAGGTTGGTTTTTTCCTTTATCTTTGATCAACCTTGTCATCCCATGTTCAGGATGAATTGCTGAAAGATCTAGAGGAACTGGAGCAAGAGGAATTAACTCAGGAGCTGTTAAGTGTGGGCAACAAGGAGAGAGAAGCCCCCACCCCCAGTTGGATTGCCTGGGGTCCCATATACACATCTGTCTGCAGGGACAGGTCCCAGAGCTCATTGTTAAAGACTTGAGAGGGTAAAGATACCAGGTAAGGCTATTGTCTTGTTATTACTATCTGTATCATCTGTCTCATCACAAAGGATCCAGCAGAAGCAGCTGCTGCTACAGCTGTCCAGGCTGCTGACTGTGTTACAGCATCTGACTGAAAGGGAGTAGGGGTTGAAACCCAGAATCCAGCCTGTGTTCCACTCAGCAAGCTGTGTCCCTGCTTTTTAGGCTGCAAATACGAGTGATAAGCCTTTTCTGTTTGTTTTCCCACTGGTTCTGGGGTGCTGTGGGGAGTGAGCCACACTAAGCAGAAGGAGCATATCTTTTGATTTTTCAATGGAGAGAGACAATTCAGCAGGCTCTAGGTGTCAGAGCAGGTGCTGATGGGAGTTCTACGGCTTTAATACTTCTCTTTTTTTTGGGAAGCAAAGGCAGGCAGGCAGATCTCTGAGTTCAGACTAGCCAGGCCTGCACAGCCAGGGTATATACCTTGTCTCCCCTGCCCCCCAAAAAAAGGAAGAAAAAGAGGGAAAACTTTTATTATTTATCTTAGAACCATACTGATAGTCAGATATGGTGGCACATGCCTGTAGTCTCAGCACACTGGAGGGTAAGACAGGAGGATTATGAGTTTCAGGCTAGTCTAAGCTACAGAGGGGGTTTCTAGGATACTTGAAGGAGGGGGAAGGGGGGAAAGAAAGGAAAGGGAAGAGGGAGAGAAGAGGTCAGATCATAAGGAGACAATCTGAGTCTTTCTCATTTCTTTGGCTGTCATGCCACTAACAAGCTAGCCCCATTTTCCTTTTGCGGGGGCAAGTAGTTTTCTTTTATCCAGAACTAGCAGTTCTCTACAGGGCTTAACTGGAACTCTGTTACTTCAGTATCTAGTAGCTATGATTCAAGGAGCCCTGGATCACTGCCTTTTTTTCAGTAGTGGTTAAAGTGATACCTGAGGGGGAAAAGTACCTAACCCCCTCCACCCCGCCCCCAGTCCCATCCGTCACTAGAACATTAGAGAACAAAAAATGTGAAATAAGAGCCTCAAACTCAAACTTAGTTGGTACAGTAAAACTTCCCCAAGTCAATTTCATTAACTGTCACAGGTATCAAGAGTACTGGTTACAGGCTTTGGGCAGAAATCCATCCCTCAGGAATGGTCTCCACTAAGACTCTCTTGAGGAAAGAATGTCTTTGACCCTACATGGTGAAACTAATTAGGTTTATTTTATAGAAAAGATTTTTCCCCCAGTCTCTTGCTTTTTTCCTTAGCCTCCTGCCTCAGCCACTTTCAAGTTGTGATTTCCAAGGATTGGTGACGATTGGCGGTGCTGGCGGTGCTGGTGGGTCGATACATGGCCTCGAGCAGCCTGATTTCGTTCGAGGGTTGCTCAGGCTGGAACTTGAGCATCCAGGGGTCCCTGAGGACATCTAGGATGGTGGCACGCTTCAAAGCTTGACGTAGCATCTGGAGGATCAGGTTCTAGGGCAGGGGAGAGAGAGGGCTTGGCTGAGCTTGCCCCCCTTTGTGAGCACAGGCATTGCGCAGCTGGACCTAAGGAAGAAGCAGGATGGCCCATCGCACTACTCTCGTGAAAGGGGCTGGGGCTCTGGTTTTATGCTGGAGCCCTGCAAGAAAAGAGAAGAGCTCCTTGCATAATCCCTTCTGCCCTAAAGGGATCATTGCTAGAACCTAATTATCAAGCATATTTAAAGTTTGAAGCTCAGTGGTTGACCCTCTTAAAGCCTTGCCACACATTGGGTAGGGGCTAGAGCCAGCATGACAAAAAGCCAACCCTGGGGGGAGGGTGTAGTTGGAAGGCCTAAATTTGGTATTTGCTTTCCCCTCCCCATGGGTCATCCCTAAAGCCTCAGCCCTCCTGGGGGAGCCAGCACCTTGCACTCCTGGGAGATGGTGAGGTTAGCTGGGAAAGTGACCTCCTTCTGGGTTTCTCTCAGCAGCTTCTTGAGATTGGTGTCATCAAAGGGTAGCCGTGCAACCACTAGAGTGTAGAGGATGACGCCCATGCTCCAGGTGTCAGACAGGAAAGGGTTGTAGGGCAAGCCTAGCAAGATCTCCGGGCAGGCGTAAGCAAAGCTGCCACAGTAGGTCTGGCTGAGGTGAGAAAGGCAGTTCATTTGGCGGTAAGAAGGGCTACTACGCACAGGCTGGCTAGAAGTCACCATCTTGGCGAAGCCAAAGTCCGATATCTTCACATTCTCCCGCTTGTCCAGCAACAGGTTCTCCAACTTTAAGTCCCTACCAGCAGCAGAAAGGCTGGGGGTCAGGCTGGGGAGAGGGCTTAGTATTAGACCGGGAGCTGAAAGGAAGGGGTCAGAGGCTAGAGATGAGGACAGGACACGTGGGAGCGAGATGTCTATGGGAAGTAAAGAGGAAGCAAAGCCATGGAGTTGTGAGCAGAGCCCAAAAGGGAGAGAGGATGGTACCTGAGGACCACTAGTTCACCATTGTGTATAAAGTGCTCTCACACAGTGGATACAAGTGTCCTTGACCAGATGATTACAATATGGTGAACAAATGGACCTAGATATTGAGAGAAGTCAAGAGAA